CCCCCACCACCACCATTAATTCCTTCTAGCAAATCTTTCCAACTCCTTTCAACTGGACTCCGACAAAACAGAACCACTGCCAATTCCTGGGCCTTCCACAATCTCTCTAGCGAAGTGGTTCTCAACCTTCCTGATGCCGCGACCTGAAAATGGCATTTTAGACATCCCCGCCCCACCACCATTAATTCCTTCTAGCAAATCTTTCCAACTCCTTTCAACTGGATCCGACAAAACAGAACCACTGCCAATTCCTGAACCTTCCATGATCTCTCTAGCGCAGTGGTTCTCAACCTTCCTAATGCCGCGACCCTTTAATACAGTTTCTCATGTTGTGGTGACCCCCCAACCATAAAATTATTTTCGTTGCTACCTCATAACTGTAATGTTGCTACTGTTATGAATCGTCATGGAAATATCTGAAATGCAGGATGTATTTTCATTGTTACAAATTGAACATAATGAAAGCACAGTGATTCATCACAAAAACAATATGTAATTATATATGTGTTTTCCGATGGTCTTAGGCGACCCCTGTGAAAGGGTCATTCAACCCCCAAAGGGGTCACGGCCCACAGGTTGAGAACCGCTGCTCTAGCACCACACTTTTACGTAACCTATTCCCCTTTCCACTCATTCTTCAAGACCAACGTCCAGTGAGGCCTTGGCAAAGACTAGTGTCCTTCCAACAGGAGAGTTAGGGGTCCCTTCTACAACGAGCTCCACGTTGTATCGGAATTACGTGACTTCCTCATTCAACCATGAGCCCCTGAGTGCAGAAAGTGTTCTTAATTACAGCATCTGGAACAGTCCTGGCACACAGTTGGTACTCAATAACTGTATGTGGGAGCTGTGGACGGATGTTTTGATGCATAGCAGAATATTCAGGTGGATGGATGTGCCCTTCCCGTTTTTGCTTTTGCTTAGCCTCTGGCTTGAACCCAGGGCACACCTTCTACCTTCTGTCCTGCCCGCTGTAATAGCAGGCCCCCCAAGCCCCAGCCCCACTCACCTGGGAGGCAGAGAAGGAGCAGAGCTGGAGGCAGCCACATGGTCCTATATCCCTGGCTGGTGTCCCCAGCAAATCCAAGTCCCAGCTGGAATCCAGATATTTGCAACAGAGTGTGGCTCATCCGCCCTCTCCTCTTTCCAGTTTCCTATGTGTTTCCGCGTCATCTACTTCCTTTTTCATCGCTAAGCTACTTCCTAATTTGAAGCCTTAATAAGAAAAACGGGAGGAGGGGCCAGAGACATGCTGGAGAATGGACTAAGGAAAATCTGCTGACTTTCCCCCCTACTTGGTGGCAGTATAATGTTTGGGCCACACCCTGAGCCTTCATGAAAGTCAATCCCAATTATGTGAAACCTCCCACAGAGGAGATCCTGTGTCCCCCTGACTCTCTCTGTCTGGGACTCTTCCGTGACCTAATCAGCTACCCCTTCTCTCTGGCTGCCTATTTCTGCGTCATAAAACACCCCACTTAAAGACCACCTCCCAGCAGATGGCCTCATACCTCTTCCTCAAACCTAATCTCCTTCCTGGACTCCAGACCCAATTTTCCTTCTTCCCAAGGGGCCACTCCTCCTGGTTGTACAATATTAATCTAATCCTATATAATAAAAGCTTAATATGCTAAGTGTCCAGTCGGCTATTCAACCAATCAAAGCATAATACGCTAATGATATGCTAAGGCCGCTCAACCGCTTGCTATGACATACACTCACCACCAGGGAGCAGACACTCCGACCTGTAGGTTAGCTTGCTGTTGGGGTCCCTTGGCCTGGCCTGCACCCTCTCACAATCCGGGACCACTCAGGGGATGTTGGAAAACCAGTTTTGGCCCAATCCCACAGGCCAGGCCGAGGGAGCCCACTAGTGCACAAATTGGTGCACCGGGCCTCTAGTTCGGTATAAGGGTGTTGGTTAGGAACAGATTTGAGCACAGATTCAAATCCCATCTCCATCCTTTACTAACCATGTGCCCTTGGACATGTTGCTACATCGTGCTCATCCTCAGTTTCTTCAGCTATAAAATAGAATAATAGTAATCACTTTTATCTCGTGGGAATAAATGAGTGAACACAAGTCAAGTGCTTGGCACAGAGCCTGGAACCTAGTAATTGCTCAGCAAATGTAAATATCTTTGGAATAGTCGTGGACATGAAAAATAGCTTCTCTTCTGGTCTCTCGGCCAGTTATACATTCCCTCCAGTCCAGCATATCTATCGGAAGTGTATTTTTCTCTAGGACACAGGTGCCTGAAAGTATAATCCAGTGATGAGCCCCGTCAGTGGCTTCTACTTTTCCTTCTATTTCCCCAGAGATTGACATTTATGGCCTTAAACTTCACTCTCTTTTAGAACTCTCTGCCCATTCACCTGCCATTTCTAACTTTTGCTGTAAGGCACTACTTCTTATCTGATGAAAGATGGTACATAGGTTGAGCCCTAGACCCAACACCAGAGCACATGGGTACCGACAGCATTCTATTTCTTGACCTCATTGGTAGTTATATAAACACAGCTTCAAAATTGTTCTGCAAACTAGACATGCGTGTTATATGCAGTCTTCTCTAGGGATGATATATTTTACAATTAAATGCTTACGTGTACATCTTATATACTATATGCAATTAAGTAGACATATATACACAATGGAGTAATGCCTATGGTATTTTGAAAGAAAAGAATCAATGCCCAAGAATGTTATATCCCATAGAGAAAAAGAGACATTTTAAAAATGCAATGACTCCAAATGTTCACCCTCCATGTATACTGTCTTTTCTTAAAAAATGACTGATAGCCATGGCCAGTGTGTTCAGTGGTTAGAGCATAAGTCCACACACCAAACAGTCACAGGTTCAATTCCCAGTCAAGGGCACGTACGTATGTACATACATGGGTTGCAGGTTCAATCCCCAGACCTGGTCAGGGTGCATGCAGGAGGCAACCAATCGATGTCTCTCTCACATAGATGTTTCTCTCTCTCTGTCTCTCCCCACACCACACACCCCTGCCCTGCTTCCACTGTCACTAAAAATCATCAGGGGAAAAACATCCTCCAGTGAGAATTAACAATTATAACAAAAATGACTCATCGTACTCCACCCAACCGAGAAATCAACCCAAAGAATTTACATTTGAGGAAGATGTGGTATGCAGGCAATAACAGTGGGAAAAACTAGTTAAACTTTAACATGTAAACTTTATTTTTTTATCTTTATTGTTGAGAGTATTACAGATGTCCCCCTCTCTCCCCACCCCCTATTGCTCCCTTCCACCCAGTTCCCAACCCACCCCAGGACTTTGCCACCCTACTGTCTGTGTCCATAGGTAAGATCATTGGTTACTCTCTTCCCACACCCCCTGCCCACTTCCCTCTGAGAGCCACCCGTCTGTCCCACACTTCCAGGCCTCTGATTCTGTTTTATTCACCAGCTTATTTTGTTCATTAGATCCTTGTGTGTAGGAAACACCTCTATGGAGCAGGACTTGCTTCAGTGGGGCTTTGGTGCTCACTGAGTCTGCCCCTTGAGTGTGTCGCTCAAGGAAGTGTAGAGTTGTAACCTGCTATGGTCTGCAGCTGTCCTCGGGGTGCGCTGGCTCTAGGGCCTCCAGGGAGGTGCAGTCAGCCACTGCCTGGGGCCGCCCTGCAGGAGCTATTTGTACTGGGCTTGGAGGTGCCCAGACAAGGCCCAGCTGGGAAGCAAGGCAGGCTCCTGCTAGTGCCGGGTCTTGGGCCTTTTACTGATAGGCTTGGGGGGCGCTGACCCAGCTGCAGCTTGTTTAGAGGTTTTAGCAGTCAAAGACTGAGCAAGGACAGGCTATTTATATGCAAAAGCTGCTGCAAACAGGTTGGGATGCGGCTATAAATTGGATGGGGCGGGTCTTAAGGAATCACCAGGGCAGAGCAAACAGAGGTGGCTGCCAGTCAGCCCTGTGACCAGGGAGGTCCCAGCACAGGAACAATGACCCTGCAAGCACCTCCATTTGGGAGAAAGCCGCCTGGAGTTCCTGCCCCGATGCCAGACAATCCAGTTCCTTCCGGTATGTGTCTGGGTTCCCCAGAGCCTCGCCCTGGCGCTGGAGCTCAGAGGAAGTGGGACTTTGTAAATTGAGGACGTGTGCCAGCCCTTTAAAAGGAACACCTGGGTCTCTAGCAGCTTCCACGTCACTGAGCCCCAATCCCCGCTAGTTTTTACAGTTAGGGGACTTTTCTTCCCAGCTCTGGGGGCCTGGGCTGGGGGTCTGTATGGGGCTGGGACCCCTTGCTCCTCATGGGCGGCCTTTGCAGAGGCGATCTCCCTACCATGCAGCCAGCTGCCAGGCAGTTCTGAGTGATGGTTGTTCTGTATTTTTGTTGTAATTTTGATGTGGTTGTGGGAGGCGGTGAGTTCAGGCATTTACCTACGCCACCACCTCCTCCTCTCTTAAACTGTAAACTTTAAAATGAGGTTTGGAAAGAGGCTTCTCCTGCAGGGCAATGTGGGATGAACTGGAAAGAGGAGAGTCGAGTAATAAAACTCCAAGTCATGAGAGCAGCTATGAGAATGGGCAAAACAAGAAAAATGTGAGAGCTGCGAAATAAAGGTAGAATTGACACCATTTTTGATCCCTTGGAGGTGAAGAATAAGGAGCCAAAAATAATCTAGAACATCTAGCTTTGGGGCTGGGGACACCACGAATGGAGTGAGGGAAGCCGGGGGAGCAGGCTGGGAAGGAAACGAGAAGTTTGCTCTGACGCGTGGGCAGTTGGAGGAGCTTCAGGAACCGTCATGAAAAGATCTCCAGGTCGAGGTCCAAGAGAGAGGTGGAAGGCCGACGCACTAATTGGAGGGTTTGACAGAGGGGCTTAGGCAGACCAGTAGAAAGGATGAGACAGTGGTGAAGAGGAGTCCTCCAACTTCAGTGTATGTATGGCTCAGAGAACCTGTGCTGCAGACCAAGAAGCAGACAGGAATGTTGGAGGGCCTGGCGTTTAAGGGGTTGGCTGAGGAAGAGGAGTCAATGAAGAAAAACAAGTGAATTTCAGAAAAACAAGAGAACCAAGGGCCATGATATGGCAAAGTTTTCCAAAGGGAGCAGCCAACAATGGCAAATGAGAAAGAAGGGAAAGCTGGCCTTCAGGGGCAGCAGGAGATGTCACTGGAGATTTTTTTAAAAAAATATATTTCTTTTTATTGATTTCAGAGAGGAAGGGAGAGGGAAGAGAGAGCCAGAAACATCAATGATGAAAGAGAATCGTTGATTGGCTGCCTCCTGCAGGCCCCACGCTGTGGATCGAGCCAGCACCCCAAGCATGTATCCTGACCGGGAATTGAACCCTGACCTCCTGGTTCATAGGTCGATGCTCAACCATTGAGCCACGATGGCTGCGTGTCACTGGAAATCTTCATTTCCAAAGGTCACTTCAGTTCCTCAGGCCCCACAGCCTTGTCCCACACTCAGGACACGTTCTGTGTCGGGCTTACAGAGGCCATTTGGCCAGGTCCCTCCATCCCCTGTTGTTCCAGCCTGTGATGCAAACCCCGCCTGGGCCCACCCTGTGGGGGTTTGTACTGGACAGTGTTGCTACTCCTTCCTCCACCTCTGCTTCCATCAGGATATCCCGGACAGCTTGGAACCAGGACACTGGCCTCTCTCTCCACCCCCATGACGTGATTTCTCCCCAGAGGACCCCGGCAGAAGAGGGAGCCAGCAATGCTGCAGTGTGGCACATTCCCCCACTCTGGTTTCTGGCCGACTCCTGCAGCTCCTCACAAGCCCAGTGTGGCCAAAAACCAAACCCAAGGCAAAGGTTTATGCCCACAGGCTGTCCCGGGGAAAGCATCTGAGCCACAGGCGTCCCAGATATCTCTGGGCACATGTGTGAGCAGCCCCTGCAGACCCTGCTTTTCCAGTTGGTGAACCCCATAGAAGAACACATAAAATGCTCACAGACAAATATAAAGAACTTTCAAAAGGCCCTAACCAGTTTGGCTCAGTGGATAGATCATCGGCCTGCAGACTGAAAGAACTTTCACACATTCCCACTTATGTTCACATGCACAGG